ATAACAGCGGCAAACTGATTAAAATAACAGCCACATTCACTTAAGCTTTCCTTAAGTGGCAACAGAACAGCAAGGTCTGCACGGTAAATGCACGAGCCCCCCCTCAAGCTGGTGGACTCTGATGAGGGGGGCTGTGGCACTTCCTTGCCAAGCAGTGAGCGTGCAGGGAAGGCTTGGGTACCTTCCCTGTCTGGAAGTGCACAGAACCTCTTCCCGCCATGGCACTGAATTCTATTGGAGAACGTTCTGGGGAACGGTGGTGGGTAAGACTGAAGACAAAGATGGTGGGACCAACATGCCCGGAATACTGGGATCTTCTATCTTAAACCTCTTTCTGCAAAGAATGGGCAACTTACAGAAAAGCAGGGAAGCCTCCAAATGACTGGAGGAAAGGGAGGGCACAGAACAGATGCAGCTCCCAGTCTGAGGTTCTGCAAACCTGTGGCAGAAGCCATCAACAGTAGCTTCATGCTCTTCTGCACATGGATCAGAGAACAGGCAACAGTAGCCGGGACCCTGATTAGCACAGCTTTGTCTAGTGGCCTGACTCGGTGACTGAGTTTAGCCACAACAAAAACCCACACTCAAGGGGGGGCTATGAGATGCTACTGAACTGTGGGTTTATTGTTGAAGCAGGGGTTACCGTTCTGACTGAAGCCAACTATGTTAACAAGCCATGGTTTGTCAACCTCGAACAACCCATGAAAAGGATCCCTGGCTTGTTGTTGGTTGTTAACAGTGATTTGGTCACTATAGCTTGTTGTGCAGCTGCGTTCAAACAATGTGATAACCCATCTCCAGCAACCACTCACACTGGTTAACAGCCCAAGCTCAATCCTCAAGAGGGCGTTACGGTGTTGTCTGAACCCCGTCAGTGTATGCCCATTTTATCTGTAGAGGCCAAGAATTAGCCCATTATTAATGATGGCTTTTTCTTTCAAGTATGTAACAAAACCATTTGCTGCCAAACTTTAAAGTCAGTTTATTGCCACACCTCTTGAAAAACCACCAAAGCTAAAAATATTCATAGCTCCAAGATAAAAAGTAAAAGAATCCAACCACATAATCTAGTTAAAGAAACTGAAGAAGATGCAAACGTCATCACCAGATGCATCAGAAAATGTCCCGAATACAAATAAAAAGAATGAGCTTGAACCAGATTTAGGACCAGAGAACACTGCTGAAAATCAAGAAAAGACACCATCCTTGAGGGGTGCAAGGGAAATTCTGAACCCAACCCAGAATCACAAAATCAAACAGCATTTGTTAAGAAGGAATATGGAACAAATTTAAGTCAGTGCGTATACACATGATTTCTAATTATTTACTGTCAAGCAAAATATGTATTACAGAAAGATTAAAAATGTGGGAAGAAAGCTGCTTCCCAGGAACTTTGTACAAGCATTTCCCAGAGAACGTTTTCTCTCCAAATTTATTCCAGCTCTCATAAAATCTGCAAAAAAAAAAAAAAAAAAAAAGATGTCATCTTGCTTTGGTGTATCTAAGCTCTGCTTCTCATGCTCTGAAGTCTCGATTGCATAGTTCATCGGCTCACACCAAGGAAAGATCTTATTTTTCTGTTCTTAAAGGGGTGCTGTGAAGGCCGATGGGACCCCCAGAAAGCAATATTTAAATGCCTGACAGTTTCTTCCACACCACATAACAAAAAGAACAACCACCTAGTTTCATCTGACTAGTTATTGATGGGCACAAGCATACAAAAGAGCCCAGAGCACATCCAGTGCCCTCTGAGCATCAGCTGTGGGCTGCAGCAACAACTGGGCATCTGAGAAAAGATAACAGTTTGAAACACATTTGCGATCTCAAGCAATATTTCTCTCCTGATCTGGAGGGATTTACACCTTTGTAAGTGTGCTCCAGGAATGCAGCCCAGTGATTTTAGTGGCATCCTTGTACATGCAACCCGGTACAGCCAGCTCCTTTGGTATGGCCTCCAAAGGACCTGCAGATCCTATAGCTTTGTGCTTCCTTACATTATTTTGTGGGACAAAGCTACACATTTGTGGGGTCGGGGGATCATGCACAAAAGAACCCTTCCAGATGTGTATAAATGGAAAAGATTGGCTCTTTATTTCAGAAACACAGAACATGTCTGTATAATATCTCTTCCTTGCAAAGTGCTGGGAGTTTTCACACTGGCTTTTAAGATCAGGTTCTTGGCAGGATTATATCTTGAGAACGCTCAAATTGTCTCTGGTAAACAAGGTGATATTTAAAGGAAGGCCCCTAAGGGACTGGAGAGGACTAACCTGGGAGCATTAAATATGATAGAGAACAAAATGGCACAGGTAACTAGAAAGGGGGTGGAAGAAATACAGGATCCTTAGGGATATGCTCAGCTGAAGGAAGGTGTATGAAATGAAGGGCCTTTAGAGATACAGCCAGCGGTTTATAGGGAAAATATTTATGACAACATATACTGCAAACTTTCTACTTTCACAGAACTCTTCATGAGATACATATCATGGCATTGCACTACAAAGTCCCCAAGTAGCAGCTAAGTGTAATTTAAGACTGTCAAATTTAAGAGCCAGTATGATGTAGCGGCTCAGATTGCGAGACCAGGACTCAGGAAGTGCAGGGTCCAGTCCCCACTCAGCCATGGAGCTCACTGCAGGACTTTGGGCCAATCAGAAACTCTCACCTGAACCTACTTCACAGGGCTGTTGTTGTGAGGATAAGACTGAGCGAAGGAGAATTTTGTAGGTTGCCTTAAGTACTTCAGCAGGAAAAAAGGTAGACTCTAAATATAATTTTTTTATGTTTATATAAATGGAAGGTTATTTCCTCAGAGTAGCTCATTTTGCTCTCCTTCTCTCCAACTTACTTTAGCCCTGCAGTGTAGGGTATGTTGAGATATGAGGATTGGCCAAAATGAGCTCCATGGCTAAGTGATGGGGCAGAATCGTGGTCTCCCTGGCTGAAGAGTTCCTTTTCTTACATTTAGGACTCCCAGGGCTGCTTTAAGTGAAAGTGAAACACTGAGAAAGTGAGCCACTTTCTACAGTGGTAAGTTAAGGGTTTGCAACAAGCAATTCTCGTTCACTTTCCAGATTGCAACACTTAAGGGGGCAGGCAGAGATCAAAGCCTATTTTAATTAAATAATTAGAAATCTGTTTAATCCAGAGTGCAAAGATGGCAACTGATTTTGACCTCCTGGCCAAAGTATGCATTACTTTTGAATTCTAATACAAAGCAAAGCATGACTTAGAAGAATGGCTTCTATTATTGCTCTTTCCTTAAGAGTGTGTTATTGTTTTAACACAACCCCAAAATCAAGGGTCATGCTGTCCAGGGTTAATGGGAGATGTCGTCCAAAACAATTGGAGAGCACCAGGATGAGGAATTCTGCATTAAACTCCAACCCAAAAGGTTGTTCCTCTTTATTCCATGGGGTGCAAGCCAACATTTATGGATAGACAGAATCTATGCTCCCAGTAATTTCTAAGATCTCCCCCTTCTAGGAGCTCTTTGCAGCTTCAGCAGTAAGAATTAAGCCATCAGCCACTAATTTACTAAAACTCATTGCACAGAGTTTAAGAAAAACGCCTTAAAACAAGAGGTACAACTGCCGTGAAAGAAACTCTTACTGTCCCAACATATACCAGATAACTGGCATTCAGTTACTTGGAAAGTGTACTGGAAATTCCACACAGACCCTTTAGCACAAGCAAAAGCAGATAGCCAAACAACAAAGGGAGGCGATGCTGCGAGGGAGGCGGTGCTAAGCAATCTGAACCTGCATGTCCAGTCTTGGACACACGCCGGCCATTTCTCATCTAAAACTGTAATTTCAGGGCTGTGGGACAAAGCACTGAAAGGAAGTTGTCAGATCCCCCAAGCCATGCCCTGGTCTCAACACAGAACTTCTACCAAAGGTGCTATTTGTCAAGAAGGGTGGCTACCCCATCCTGGGCACACCTTGTCACTTTTCTAGAATAAGGAAGATAGGTAAACATCTGAAAGGGGAAGAGCACTTCCAGGCACATTAAAGGCATTCATCATTTCATATTCTTCCAGCCTTAGCAGAATTTCGTGTCTCTCTGGGTGTTGGGTTTCTTTCTATCCTTGCATTAAAGAATTTAGCAAAGAATTAAGTTGGACGCTATGAACCGCGGCCGGGTCAGCAATACACGTGCCTTCTGCTGCCTGCATCTCCCCCCCCCCCCCCCCCCCCCCCCCCCCCTCCCCCCCCCCCCCCCCCCCCCCCCCCCCGCCCAACAACGTCTTCTACGCATCCCGCCCTGGCTGAACAGGCACTGAAACTCCGTCGCCACGAGCACGCGCACTGGGCGCAGGTACGTGCAGCCGCGATGGCCCCTGGCAACCCGCCCAGGCCAAGGACCCAGATTCGCGCAGCATCCTATCTGCTAACTGGCACGGCTGGCTAAGAAGCGAGCCTGAGAACTCCTCTGTGTGCGTGTGCGCCTCGTTTGACTGACTTATTTAATTCATTTCCACACCACGCAACAGTCGAAGCTCTCCGCTGAGCTTTTCAGCTTTCAAAATGCGTGTCTGAAAACGTGAGAAGTCGCGATTCAGGCCGCGCGTGCATTCACAAAGGAGAGCACACTTTCTAGAAACTGGCCGCGGCAGGGCTCGCCCCGGAGCAGACCTGGCTAGGGGCGAGCGAGAGACTTGCTCCACGGGGAAAGTGGCCACGAGTTACGAACGCGGAACTAGCCAGGGCTTGTGATCCTCTCTCCACACATTACCTGCGAGGAAGCCCCGCTAAACACAGGCGGGGCTTCCTTCTGAGTAAACACGCCAGTCAGGTGCGATACCGTCCGCCATGCAAAACAAAGACACCACCGCGCCCACTTGCAGTGTTTCCACGGAGGGCGAAGAAAGGTAAGGCGAGCTCGGTCCCCCTCCGGCGCTCGCCCACTTTCCGCGGCCAGGAGTCCCCCTCTCAGCCGGGGCAACTCCTCGCTGCCGCCCCGCCCCCGCCTCACGCGTCCCCCCGCCGCTCGCTCACCTCCTCCAGCGCCACCACGGCGCCCCGGCACTTCTGCATTTTGGAGGTGAAGCTGGAAGCCGCCGGCGAGCTGAGATCTTCCGAGGTCACGGCCACGAACTCCGAGACGCTGAGCTGCTCGGGCATGTTGGCGGGGACGCTATCGCGCCGCTCGAGCGGGGAAGTCGCAGCAGATCACAGAGGCGGGCAGGAGAGAGTCACCCCAAAGTGAGAAGGGGGCGACGGAAAGGGAACATCGGCGCAAAACAGAGCGCGCGCGCGCGCCAGCGGACCGAACGGGAATCAAGGCGAGGGGGAAGCGTTGCAGAAAACCCGCGGCTGTCCCTCGCCCTTGCACGGGTCAGCCTCGCATCACGTCGCCGGGCTGGCCGTCCTCCGGTGTGCGGCTGGCCAGAGGCGCGCCCGCTCTGCTGCCTTTCCGACCTCTCGCAAGCCCGGCCTCCTCGCTCCCCGCTCGCTCGCTCGCTCCCTCCGCCGCAGGCCGCTTGGCACAGAGGCTTTCGAGAAGTCACGTGGGGATATTGTTACGCCGCACTGCCGAGGAGCCTCCGAGCGAGGCTTTTTGGCCCGGCGCCACTTAAAGGCAACGCGCCCCCTTGCCTGTCCTTCCCTCTGCTCCTCACAGCCCTTTAAGGTAGAATCTGCCGTAAAGCGACGAAGAGGTCGGTGCGCAGAACTTCAGCTGGAAGCTGCGAGACACGGGGGAAAAGTGCCCGAGTCCTGAGCAGATTTGCATAGGCTTATAGGCAGCGCCCGCCCCTCCTCCCACCTACGTAAGATTCGCATTCACTCGTAAATCCCTTTTCATTTTCCTCCGGATCACTTTACTCTCCGATGTGTTGAGGATAGTGGACGTATTTCTAGTTTTTAATTTTGTTTGCATTTTGTTCTTACTGGAACGAGAGGAGCTGGTTTTCGCCCTCCCTTTCAGAGGCGCGGTGTGCGTGCAAGCGCTGGAGGAGCAAGAGACCCGGCAAACACAGTGAGAAGAGACATGCATAAGCGACCAGGTTTGTATGTGTGCTTTGCACTATCAGCCTTTCAACAAGCGCGTTTGCACGTATCTACTCTGAAGCAGACTTATTCTCCAAGGGAGTGCAGCCTCAGGTTGATCCTGGGCATGTTTGCGCGGAAGTAAATGCCAACCAACTTAGGAAGTAAAAGTGCAAGGGCGTGATGCCTTAAAAATCTGCAAAATTCGGAGAAAGCCTGACTCTGCAAAATGGTTTCAGGACCGAGTTTCTCGGGAGGTTTCCTGTTTCTTTAAGAAGTAAAGCGAGGAAGAAAGAAGGTGGCTGAGTGTCGTTTATTCCAGCGCTGCAATGTTATGAACGGAGCAAATGCCCCTGGCAAAACTCGTATCTTCTATGCAACGTAATTTCTGGTGGAACAGGAGCACTGTCTGCTTCCCCTTTGTTAATTTTACATTTTCTTTGGAGTAAACCCCACACTATATATGTCTCCTTATTTCATATAATAAAGTTTATTTGCTACAAGGTAAGACATCATGTTGATACATGCAATTACTTATTATATCTCACTTTTTCCTGCAAGGGAGCTTATGTAATCCACCTCCACTTCACGTTATCCTCACAACAACCCTGCCAGGTTGTTGTTGTTAGTCGCGACTTAGTCGTGTCTGACTCCATAGACAACACTCCTCCAGGCCCTCCTGTCCTCCACCATCCCCCGGAGCCCACCCACTGAAGCTCACACCAACTGCTTCAGTGACTCCATCCAGCCTCCTCATCCTCTGCCGTCCCCTTCTTCTTTTGCCATCTATTGTTCCCAGCATTAGACTCTTCTCCAGGGAGTCCCTCCTTCTCATTAGATGGCCAAAGTATTTGAGTTTCATCTTCAGGACCTGGCCTTCTAAAGAGCAGTCAGGGTTGATCTCCTCTAGGACTGTAGGTTAGGCCAAAAGTCTGTAACTGGCCCCAAGTCACCCTGTGAGCTACAGGTCTAATTGGGGTTCACCATGAAGCCAGATCCCGCAGGTCCGAGTCCAGCACCCTTAACCACGGTGCCACATGTGCTTTAAGCAATGCCTGTAATTCATTAAAAGTGCAATCCTATGCAAGTTTTGACAGAACAAAACTCTTGCACCACCCCAACATTCCCCAGTCTGGACGGAGCAGCTCAAAAGTCATAGGATTTCTCTTTTTGTCTACACACGGATGAACTGTGCCCTTCATAAATTTAAACCAACTGCTATGGATGATAGAAGTGGCTGTTCCACACTCACTCCAGAAGGGCTGACTTCAGAGTAATCTCGGGAGTGGACCTAGCGCCCTGCTGTTGGAGCTGTTGCTGCTTTTGATATCCGACAGCGGTACAAAAATGCAGCTCAGATTTATTCGGCAGCTTCTCCCACTGCACTAAACAGGACTTAACGGTGTGGTCCCGGATGTTATTGGCTGTGGGGAAAACCACCTGGGTGTGTTCCCAACCATTAGTGTGGCTCCTCCTCCATCATCGGTAAGTTCAGATGATCTTCAGAAGTGGAAAAGCCGGTCTGGCCACCATAGCTTTGTGGAAGAAAGGTCAAGAGGCTGCGATTGCAGTATCTCGCTCCCATCTCACACTCATCCTCTCCACAGTATTTCCTCAAAAGCGATCTCTTCATGCAACAACTTTCTCACTGAAGGACAATCCCCAGGCATGTCCTTTTTCCCTTTCCTTTTTTTGGCCAAAGCGCACAGGACAGCACCTCCACCAAACGGTGCCTCTTTCCCCACAGTAAAAGAAGCGGACACAGGCCAACTCAGCAAATACACCAAGCTTTGCAGCCTAATGCTAATGTAACTCTGGGAAGTTCTGTGGGGCCACTTGCTTACCAAAGAACATTGCAACACAACTTTACATACAAAATGAACCTCTTTCTATCAACAACTCTGTAACAAAACAGCACGAACCATTGCAATAATAACAAAATACCAGAATACTACATCCTGTGCAACCAAGCCCCTGGCAACAACACCGATACAAATACAGAGCCACAAAGTGTCCTTTTGAATCCAAACTCAAAGAATATTAAATGTCTTCTTCAACTGGTCTGAGTAGCCAACCAGAAGAGCCAGTTCCATATGCAGAATCTTCAAAATGCTGGAATGAATTGCCAATCCAATTGCGTGTACATGAATTCACTGTGAAGATTCACCCTACTAGACAAATATGTAGGAATTATACCTGGACCAAGCCAACACAGGCCTTAGTGGCAACAGCAGCTCCTGCCTCTTCAGCTTTCCCACTCCTTTGGATTCAAATTTCTTTATAGCCCCACTCTTTTTTAGCCCCACCCCTTTGGGCTGTACCAATATTTCATAGGGGTTGCATTAAGATCAGCCTTTCCCAACCTAGCCCCCTTCAGATGCACTGGGCTACAGCTCTCCAGATTCTGAAAGCGGCCAGCCAACTAGTGGATGTCTGGTTAGGAAAGGGCAGCGTGACCCACTGTATGGTTACTTTCTATTGGTCCGACTCTGCCAGGCCTTTAACACCAGCGGACTTCCAGGAATGACTCTTTGAGACTAAAGACATCTGAAAAGCACTTAATTGGGTAGGCAGCTTTAACTGTGGAGACTAAGGGCTGAAGCAGGAGCCCTTCCGTAGATATCAAAGCTTGTGGTTTATCACTTCAGGCAACATAACCCAACTCAAGGATTCAGTCCGGGTTGACTGCACGTTTTTTTGAACTGTGGGTTGTTGTGGAAATGTGGATAATCATGTAGACTGAACTCCATATTACAAGCCATGGTGAACAACCCACAGTTCACAAGGCAATAACAAACTATGGGTTCTCTTCCCAGTTTGTTTGTGGTTAACAAGTCATGGCTTCTTGGAGCTTTTAATCAGAAAACCAAGCTTTTGACAAAGTGCCCCATGCTATCTTGTTTAGCAAATTAGCTAAAGGTGGGCTAGAAGGAAGACCTCTCAGTTGGATCCACAGTTGGCTATAGAATCAGACTCAAATCAGACTTCCAAAGAGGAGAACCGCCTTCTCCTGCAACATACTTGGTGGCAGTGGGAGCTTTATGCTAAAATTTACTGGGATCCTTTAGTATTTTTGCCTCACTCGGCCCTACCCTGGAACAGGACCCCTGAGAGTTTCCCTGAAATTGACCCCAGGACTCAGCTGGAAAAAGGTTCCCCAGCTGGATGCAAAACCATCATGGTGCTGCAGCATATAAGAACCTGGGTCCCACCTTGAGGATTCAAGGTGGAGAGCAAAGGTAAACCAGGAAGCAGTGGGCCCCACCCATCCAGGCAGTTTGGACTACAGTTCCTCTAATTCCTCGGCCAGTCAGGGCATGGATGGTCTAGCTGCTGACGAAGGGAGCTGTGGTCTAACCCCTCCAAAGAGCAGCATCAGGTTGGGGGAGATTGCAAGAGCTGGCCTTGGCCCGCTGTGCTGTTGCAAGAGCCGCATGTCATTGCCATGTTGCAAAATGAGGGGAGAGCAGGCCAGGCAGGAGGAAAACGTGCCAGCAGAAGAACTAACGGGAAATCTCAGTGTGTGAGACAGAAAGGCGGAGGAGCATATAGGTTGGACGCACCGCTCTGTTGAAGGAAACAAACCGCAAATCGTGGAGGTTATTGGAGCTCTTTCCTTCTGGATAAACCTTTCTTCCTCTTCATCGTTCTCTCCCCCCCCCCCCCCCGCGCTGGCTTCCCGATGCGAAGTATTTCACAGAATGAAAGGATAGTCACAGATGTGGAGTCCAAGCTCAGCTTTGCTTTGCTGCTTCCCAGACCTTACTATGATTGCAACACTGCCCCACTTACGGTTACCGGTTACCGGTTTCTGAGGCTTGCATAACCCCCTGCCCCCCAATCCCAGTCATTTCCCAGAAAGATTCCAGAAAAGATAATGGAGCCAACAAGCACAAGAGCGATACAGTCAGTGGGCCATCGGTCACATGCACTGGAAGCACCTTTTCTTCCAAATAATGACCTCATGGAATCACTCAAATCCTTCTGGCACTTGGAAGGCTCTGGATTCCTTTTTGCGGCTGCTGCAGCAGGGAGAGAGAAAGCCCAGTGTGAGCACAGCACAGCCTTTTCTGCCTGGGAATCTCACATGCTTCCAGGGGAGATAGAAGGCTCGGTGCTTCTGCCTCGCCATGTACCTGCCCCAAAAGCAAGACTAAAAGAAGGCCAGATTTGTTCCACCATATGCTGATCTATAAGGGCAGATGCTATTTTGGAAATCATGATTGCGCCTAATAGATCGCGTGCATTGCTGTCCGCTCACACCACTGACCTGGCCCTGGCAGAAGTGGCGCCCAGTTCAGTGCCAGTGGCATAACCAGTAGGAAAACCCATCAAAATCAGTATGCTGTACTGGTATTGTCCCAAAGTCAGTTCCATGCGCAAGGCATAAGAGGAATCATAGCATTGGATGCTAATAGAAGATACGTACATCCTTTACATTGTTCAAACAAAAAGGGAAACCAAAGGACTGAAAACTGCTAATATACACATTTATTTCAGCAACCCCAAGAAGTGTGTAGATTTTGCTGGCAACAGCTCATCTACTTCAATTTCATTGTCACTTTTCGCTCTATTTCATGCTGAGACAT